GGGCTGATGGTGAAAAGCTAGTCATACTCACACTAACAAACAAGCAGAAGACCTGAAGGAGAGCAGGGCAGGAGAAAGAACCAAGAGCGTTTCCTGCAGGTTTCACCAGGTACAATCCTGAAGCAAACTCATGCACCATTCATCCCTGAGCAGACTCAGACTCTGGTACCTCCCAGCTGCCACAGAAGTTGTTTACAGAATACTTAACAGGCTTCTGGACAGAACTGCATTTTAAAGAGCTCATCCTGTATCTGAACACTCTAAGCTGAACTGCTTTTTTGATGCTCTGGCTCCATCTTCTAGCACTAAAGCATACTTCTCCTGATTAATTTACTGTGGTTGTTGGCAAATGTTTTCCATCATAAGTGATTTTTTTTAAATTGAGATTACAAAATTGTGATGAAGTATTCATATGACTACTCTGACAGTTTTTCTGGATTTCTCTTATAGATCAACTTGCTCATCTTAGTTAAAAGCTTTACTGAGTAGTAAAAATCAAGACCATTTAGGATGCTTTCTTCTCTTTTTCAGATTGATATATTTAAACACAGTGTTTATATATTTGGTAGTAATAAGTGCGAAAGAAAAGAATTCCTCTGAATAAACCTTTCTAACATGAAACAATAAGAAGAGTCAAATTTTTTCAATGAAAGTTGTGAAACTTTCCACACAACGATTCGCATGGGCCCTATAAAAATCCTTTTAAACTATCAGAACCCGATTACCTTAAAAATATATGTAGGAATGCACACTGTTCTGAGTTCTTATTGTCAGAAAAGGGACCGCACAGAAGGGATAAAACAATGGTATGGAAACTTACCATTCTCTCCAATTGGATTCTATTGCAAACTTATTGCTTCCATGTGTTAAAAAAAAAAAAAAAAAAGAAAAGAAAAACCTCAAACCTTTAAGCCAACCACAATCCCTAAAATCTTTGGCACTCTTATTAAGCACTAGATCCAGAAAAAATAAATAAATAAACTTTGTTTAATCACACAATTATATCACAAACAAGTTTATTTTACCATATATATTAAAGTTACAATAATAAAAATTGATCGCTAAAGCAATTAAAAAATATGTTAAAGTTGTTAAAACACCCCAAATTATTTGGTTGTAACATTTAATAAACACGTAATACTTGTATTAAACACTGCATGCTAAAATACACAAATGAATTTGAGTGAATTCTTAAATAGATGAAGATTACACTTTTCCATACAAGAAAAACTTTTAAAAAACAGTGGTTATATAAAGGTGAGGAACACAAGCATACCATAAAATAAATTTATGACATTTTCTAAATGAATGAAATTCCTATACAATAGAAAAGTCCTTGAATTACTTAAACTCTGTTGTCTTTGCACGTTCTACAAATCAGTGCGCATAATACATGGTTTCAAGCACCATTTGAAGTGTCAAATGAAAGGAAAAAAAGAAAAAAAAAAAAAAAAAAAAAGGAAAGTTTCCTTATCCCAAAGTGAGAACAGATGGTAATGTAAAATTAAATGGGAAGAGACAGTGAAGTTTTGGATGACCAACCAAGAAATCTTTCCCAGAGCGGGACAAATATACCAGACCTTAGCTTGTCCTGATTCTTAGTTAACTTCCAAATTAAATTCAATAGAAATACAAAGCAGTTGTTAGATTAAACGTTCTGTTTTTAAAATTTGTTAGCATATATATAATACATGTATAAAGTCTAATCACGATAAAGTAGTCTAATTATTTGGTTTCAGTATTACCTGAGACCAAGACTATTAGCAATACATTTTTTAAGTGGGTACATGGAGAAGAACCAACAGACATGATAAAACTTAAGATTTGGATGCTGAACTCTTTGTCTTATACAAGAGCCATCTGCTGTAAATTAGAGTTATATAAATAAATTATGACTATGTTTTCTTCTCCTATTTTATCTGTATAACTAAAAGGAATCTTGTGGTAGTAATGCTAACAATAATATAACAAAGTAAAAATGTTCCTTAATTTGATATTTAATTTTAGGTAGCGTTATAACATTGCTTTCTAAAAATAACAAATATAAAGTCAAAAGGACATCCTCTACAGTGCTCTTCAATATTTTTTAATATGTGTAATGATTTTAAATTTGAATAAAATAGAATATTTCAGTTTTTAGTGTTCTTAGATTTGAAGTTAATAAAACAAATGACTAACCATTTTCTTACAAGATTATTCTAAAAACAATTTCATAGAATTTAAATATAAGCTTTTTAAAAAACTACCAGATATCTTTTACAAAATAATGCCTGTAAAGCAAAGTATTTTACCTTTATGTGAAGTCTAGAGTTGCTGATACAAAGAGAATAACTATATATTTTAATTAACACAATTCAGATTTTCAGGTTATTCATTCTCCTTTTCCAAAATGACAATAAAATCTCTCTGTGTACATTTTTCCTGTTCTCCCAGAAAGTTGATATTTAACATGTTAATTCTATCTTTTTTTAACCCTACAAGGGGTGAAAGTAACTGCACCTCACACTAAAAGACTTGGGCTTATATAACGTAACACACTAGTAATCTGATACAGATTTTACTTACAATATGGGACAGGCCGGCAATGGAGACAATGCCACATACAGTGCACTGCATCACATTGAATATGTGCATAAAACAGTTACTGAACCGTAGATCTTATTCAGATCACTCAAAAAAGTATATGCAAACCATACTATGCAAAAGATTTTCAAAATATCCCTTATCAGTAAATAAAAGGCACAAAAGACAAATTTTGGGAATATCAAGTTCATTAAATTTTATTAACTCTCATTTTCTATACCATTTGTGCAAATAAAATCTGAATTAAGTAAAAACAACTGTGCACATTTGCAAGTTCACCTTCACACTAATAAATCAAAATTCTAACTACCCAAAATGTTAAATGCAGACCTCTATAACAAAATTACTTAATTGCTTTGTAGTTCATTGGTTTAATGATTTTATCATGGAAAACAGAACTTCATAAAGAATACAAATTTTTATTTTCCCTTTGGGGGGACAGTGAACTTTGAATAGGGAATTCAGATGTACACACTTAACGTTTACTCAAGCCACCTGTGCAAATTCCAAATCCGTATCTTTATAAAGTGGGTAAGAAACAGGCATTTTGGATGACAAACACACAGTAAGCGGAACACCGGTGGCATAGATCAGTATTTCTCAAATCACACACTGTGTACATTTGAGGATCTGTGAACATATTCTTGGGAGTGTGACAGTATTACTAAATGCCTTGCTTTGGTGTCTTCAAATTACGATTTAAATATGACTATACTCTGTGTAACTCCACTGACAGCTTTTACCGCTCATTATTACCATGTTATTTAGAATCTAATTTTTGATATTATATTTACGATTTTCAAGTCATCTATTTTTAGTGTCTGCATTTAAGTCTTACTAAAGTGTTTCTCAAACAAAGATTCACTAATGTATTCCTGGGACCTCAGAGACATTTTTCTATAAATATGAGTTCATATAGTATTATTCAAAATCAAGAGACACTACCATAGACTAGATCATCTTTCTATATTGTTTTCATCTAAAAACAGTTGCAGCCTACCAACAATTTTTAGAGATCAAATTTTAAAAGCATACTTAGAAGCAAAGTTCACAAAAGGATTTATAACTATATTCTACTGTTTTTCCTTTTATAATAATATGCAAATGAACTTTTGGTGTGACAATACGCAGTCAGTGGCCAAAATGAAGCAGGCTGTCAAAGTTTCTATTAGCAACAGTCATTATAATTTTAAATGGTTCAGTACATCACATTAACTAGGCGTCAGAAAATCTAGTTTCTTTTTCCAGTTTTGCCTCTGGCTTGAAATTAACATTTTGGTATAATAATGATTCATTCTTGTAATTCTCATTTTAAAAAAAAATTAGTACATTATGCTACTCAATAAAATACACACTGAATATCTGGAATTCTTGGTAGTTAAATGATACCAATTAAATAAGAACATGCTTGCTTTTCTTAATTTTGCCAGTGAATATAGATAATATAAAAAATAACACTATTTTGAGCTAGTTTTTGAGTTATGCTTACATTTTACTTCACCTAATTTATAATATTTTAAACTTTCTTAACAATTGAAGTATGTTATTACTAAAAGTTATTTTTTACTGGTTAAACGTTAAAAATAACTTCGCACTGCTCATCATTTCAAATTTTATATCAAATTATCAAGCCATTCTTAAAGAAATTCTCTACTGACATGTCTAATACTTTAAGCATCTTAAGTAAAATGCAAACTGCAAAGATACTCTGGTTTTAAAAGGCATGTAATTTATACTTAAAATAATTCATGTTTAATTTTAAAATTTAGGAAAACAGAAGTCCTTTAAATTACGCATACCTATGATATAAATGTGAAAAAGTTTTAAGTAAAAATCCTGCAGAAAGAAGTGTATAGATTTTTCCTAGTATGTAGAATCTGAAGCAAACAACCTTAAAAAAAAATGTTTTCAAACTATTTCTAAACCATTACCAATAACAAGATTTGATTATTGATTAAATTAATAAATTATTTTTAAAAGTATTTATTGAATATACACTATGGACTTTGCTAGTTCCAGATTTGGAAGAGTAAAGCTTTGAAAATCTAAAATCAATTGCATAATGAATTCATTTCATATTACCTTTAGAATTTATTAAGAAAACCAATAGACTGAAAGTTAAGAGTATTCCTGGTCATCTAACAAACACAGGCAAAGTAAAGTTTATTACTCATTTCCAACTTAGGACATCCCACAAAAGTTTTTTTTTTTTTTTTTTTTTTTTTTTTTACTTTTATTCATTCAAATATTCTTTATTAGACTCAATTGTACCATTACTTAAAAGGTAATATAGAATAGAAAATGTATAATTCCAAAAAAGTGCTTACTTTTAAATGCTCTAATCATAATTCTTTTCTTCCCAGAATGCACATGTACAACTGCACAAATGTTAACCTAGAGTCAACAAGTCATCTTACCTGAACTGTGGAGCTGATCTCGGATGCAAAACCACCTGTCAAGGGAGCCTCGTGACTGATTAAAAGTCGACCCGTTTTGATCACAGACTGAGAGAGCAAAAGAAAATCTGATGTTGAAAAGAATATATATTCCAGTACATGATGATAGTTGCAATAAACAAAAATGTTTAAACTGAATAAATAATACAAAATCAGCAAGTCAGTTTTATACCTCAGAAGTTACAATTCCTTCCCAATTGGACAATCTAATTTTTGCATTATTTAGATATTTCTGTGTCATAAAGTGATTTCATATGCTCATACTTCAGTATCAATTTTTTTCTTCATATGTAAGAGTGAAAGTACTTTTGCATTTTGGGGTATTTGCCATATAAAAAACAGTAGTCTTAGGAAATATAAGTTATGTGGAAAAGGAAAACAAAAATACCATGAAAAACTTGTAACAGATAAAGTTAGGTTATTAGTTATTTGAGGAAACCTTACAATAATAAACTATTAGAAAAGTAGGATTATGATCAACTTAGTAAATAGGCACTAAAATGATTAATGAGCATAGGTACCCTGTAACACAGAAAGCATCATAATAGCAAAGTCTTTCACTGTTATTTAAGGTGGTTATGCACACTGTGCACGATACACTGTGTACAACAATAAATCAAAAAGTATAGCCGTGGTATCATAGCAGGATACCAGCTGTGCTGAGAGGGAAAGTATTAAAATCAACCGAAAGTTACTTCTTAAAATACATTGAAAAATTATCATATTATGACAGAGAGGTGGCAGTTTCTTTCCCAGTTCTCTAACAATTTATTACCTTTCTTAAATGTTAGTATTTTATGAAAATAAAATGAAATCTCTCATGCAAAAATATGTATCTACAATAAAATATTTTACTCTCCTATGCAATTATGGTTTAGAAATTAAAAAGCATTCCACAGTCACTGTCAGATGTTAAACCCCAAGATATCGCTAATAGCCATGACAAAAATGAATTATTGTATCTACTATGTAAATAGTACCAAAGAACATAAAATTTTATGAACACCTTAATGAATACCACCCACTTCCAATGACATGTTAACTTTAGAATATTGGTATTTAGCTTTTTGTGACTATGATTAATTGAGGCCTTTGTAAAAGTCACAAATCACATTTCAGTTACCTAAATAAATTATAAAACAACAAAAATACTCCACGATAAAGAAAAATGTTTTCAAAATATTCTCTAAAAGTTGATTCTTTTTGAAGTTAATCTATTAAAAAGCAACTTTGATAATCAAGACTTCTGTAAAGCTCTGAAACTCAGAACTCTGCCAATTTTGAAAGGTGAAGCAGCCAACATCCATCCAAGCTAGATGGTACATCTTAAATTTCTAACAGGTAGAATGGGGGAAAATGCTATAAAAATGCTGTTCTTAACCTTAAACCTCAGAAACTCAGAACTCTGCCAACGTTCAACAATGACACAGCCAACATACCTCCAAGCTAGATGGCACGTTTTAAACATCCAGCAAGTAGAAAGTACTTCTATAAAAATGCTGCTTTTACCCTAAAACCCTAGCCAAGAAATTAGTCCTTTATAACCCAAATGCTGCTGTTACCCTAAAATCCTACTCAAGAAATTGGTCCTTTAAAATCCAAGCTCAGGCCTATCCATGATGAAATAATAACTTTTTAAAATAATCCCCAACAATTAGCAAGTAATCAAGCAGAAAGGATAATGCTTACTGCAGTCTGTAGGGAGACTTAGCACAGAATCAAAGTGAGCTTCTAATTTAGGACCTTTGTGCAACATGATATAAAAGTGGATGGAATGTACAGACCTTCTAAGTGTACTTCAATCGAGAAATGGTTAAAAAGACCAAAGCACATTAATACATTATAGAGTGTTACGCAGCCATGAAAAAGGCTATGGCCATGGAACGGTATTTTTGATGTCAACTAACAAAACAAGTCAGCTGCCAGAAAATATAGTCTCATTTTTGTGAAAAAAAAAATCATAAAATGGGAATACTAAAAAAAAAAAACATGTGTTTTCAACATGTACATATATTGAGCCAATGTGTAAATATTCACAAAGATTCATTTCAATACCAAAACTCTTTTCTCATAGGGAATGATACTGAAGGAAGTACACAGAGGAACTTTTATTTTTTAACTTATGTACTTCTAGATTATTGAAAGTATTCTCATTAAGGCTACAATAAATGAAAAAAAGAAGACTCTTCAATTAGGTAGTGAAGGTTATGTTATCATTTTAATCTCCTCAAGAATCAGACTGACTTTTTAAAAGCGATACCACAGAACTAACTTCAAAAAGAACAGGATGGCAATAATAAAACAGGTACACTGAAAGCCTAGAGAGTCAGTCTTTGCCTTCCACTGCCTGTGTGACCTGCACCATGTTATTCAGGGTCACATCCAGCTCCTCATTTAAACCTCAAGCAAACAGTAGCTAAATGAAATAAAAAATAAAATTTTGGGGGCTGGGGGTTTAGCTCAGCGGCATAAGCACCTGCCTTGCAAGCAGGCGGTCGTGAGTTCGATCCCCGGTACCGATAAAAATGAAAAAGACAAAAAAAAAAAAAATTTTGGAATCAGAGACAGCCAAGTTGTTCGGCATCTTCCTATGTATACTAGACACACACACACACACACACACACACACACACACACACACACACACAAAGTACATGTAACTTTGTGAGCCTGTCTGAAAAACAAATACAAATGGCTGGGGATAAAGATCAGAAGTCCCTAGTACTGCAAAACAAACAAAGCATTTGTTCTCTCTGTTGAATAGAGTAATTCTAAACACCTCTCACACAACAGGAACAAGAAGATAGACCAAAGACAAATGATCACAGTTTGAAACTATGGAAATTGTCCATGTTTACAAATAAGTAATGAAAGGATGTGACTCGGAAAGTCAGAAGTAACAATCCTAATCACAACTGACTATCACAGGGATTGTCGTGTAGCTTGCTCTGTGCTGCCTATTTTATATTCAAGGCTTCATTTAATTTGGAAGGAACTTAAATTTCATTTTTTTTTTTCTTAAAAAATAATCTCTGGTATCTGAAAAGCTTTTAACTGCGTAACATAAAATTAGGTCAGCTGGGCATGGTGGCACGGCTGAGGCAGGAGGATCACAGTGACTGTGAGGCCAGCGTGGGCTACGTGGCCAGACCCTGTCTCAAAAGACAAAACAAAACAAGAGTCAAAATTCCGAAAAGCCCAATTGCAGAAGTAACACTGATACATTTCCGTCATACTCTCAAATAATTAACACATTGAGGTGTCAATACAGTTCAGCCTTTTTTTCAAGTATAACAGGAATCCTACTTGATACATGATTTTATCATTCATAATTTTAATTCACTAAAATTCCTGACATCTGTAAAATTAACACTTTATTAACATTGTCATAATGAGACTATTACAAATTTACTCAAGAGAATGTTACACTTGCAGTTCTGTGTGACTAGATATTCTGCTATTCTTATCAAATGAGATTTTTTTCTCAGCAGCCTTTTAATATTTGCACATCTAGGCAAAATAATACACAACTGCCAAAAGATCTAACATAATTTAGCATTTAATGTGTTTAGACAGTAACAAAATGGTATTTTTCAATGTGAACTGCCATTAATTAAAAAAATGACAGATATAAAAACTAATAATGCTTGGAAGTTCCTTTTCTTTGGAAGGATTTTTTTTTAATATTTTAGTTTCCCTCTGAAATACCTTTATTTGTCTACCTGAAAAATTTTTTTAACTATGTAAATAACTTTTCAGTGTGAAAACTGCACCAATAAAAGAAAGGTAAAATCACATAAGACAAGATTTTCTCTGTCTGTTTCTCACCCGCGAGAACTGCCCCTCAACCCTGGCCTATCACACACGGATTACCAATAAGTTAGAGGTGAAACATGGCAGCAAAAAGCCAAGCCAATTAAAGATTCGGATGGGGAATAACTTCTCTTTCTCTTGTACTTCAAAACAGAAAGACTTTCTCCTCTACAAGGCCTTTTGAAAATCTTTCAAGAACAGTTTACAAACACTCCTGAAGTCTAGGAGTGTTTTCACCTCTCACATAGTCTTTTTTCTCCCAGAGCAAAAGAAGCATCCCATCATAATAAAGCAAACAAAATCCCAACCCTGAGCTCCAGGCAATGCCGACAACACATATCCCAGCATTCTTTCTGGGGGAGCCTTGAAGATCATTTATTTTTTGTTTGCCATTTGTTAATGCTTCCCCTCATCTATCCTTTATACACATTGATGAATGGTGACAAATTAAAGTTGTCTACGTAGGGAATCTAGCACAATGCTCTGAATATGGTAAGTATTCCAAAATGATTAATTGGGGAAAAAACCCTATTACAAGTTGTTTAACTATTTTATATGTATATTTTATATACTGTGTTTTCAAGTTTGTGCTGTGCTCAATTTATAATCTTATTTCATAGTTAAATATACTTTTGGAAATGTGAAAGTATACTATTATACTACCTTGAAAATGGATTTTGTCAAGAAAACAATAGAATCAAAACACATATACAATGTACTTTTAACAATACAGTACCTATGGTAATTCAGAAGGGCTAAGTTATACTCCACTAAAACGATTACCCAGATATTGGCTGCCCAAACATTGGACATATGTTTTAGTGAATGCAGCCTTTAAAGATTTTAATACAATCCAACCAGGAAAACTATTAAGTTGTCAATCCAGGAGAAAATGATATAGACAGGCAGACTATGAAACTTGCATATGCCTAAATGTGCAAGACTGTCATCTAAAAAGCAATACACTTATTATGTGTTGCTCAAATTCACCAGCAAGTTTTTTTGTCTCACCAACTCCAAGTTCAGCAGCCTATTCTGACAACATAATGATAAGTAAGAAAATAACACTTTTGGTCGGCAGTCCATGGCTCATTTAAATTTTTTTATATGAATACGAAGCTAATGAAAAGCAAATGAAGCATTAAAATTGACCTTTTAATAGTTTCTCATATATGTAAAACACACAATTAAGCAAAACTAATGACAAACTAATGGCAAGCATATAGGTTTCACTA